CCACTGAGTGCAGAGACACCGCCGGCGAGAGAGAGGGAATACAGTCAGCGAAAGAGATAGCTACATAGACAGAGAACTAGTCACATCAGGAAAAAGTAAGCCTTAAAAGGCTCTACTAAGATCTTTATCTTAAGTAATAAAAAAACTTAAATATTTGTGATTAATTACCCATCTAACTTATTATCAAAACGAATTAGAAATTCAAAAAGAAACCTATTTTTTCCAGTGTACCCTGTGATGAGCCAGACGAGAAGCCTTCTCCAGCTGTTGTTCTCGGCGTTGTTTTTAGTTGAATGGCAGCGCTAAGCGGATTAACGCTGTTATTTTAAGTTCAACAAACGAAACGAAGAATAAATTAATGAGTTTTCACTGTGGTCGAGCAGACGGCATTCGGCCCACCAAATGGGTTTAACAGCAGAAAGCCAAAAGCCCAAACGCACACACAGGAGCTAGGGAACTTCCCTTCCATTCCATTCCCTTACCCAAAATGTGGGTTCATGGACCAAGTTTCCAACCATTAAGCTCACTCTCCAAAAACTGTAATCTGTTCCGTGTTGCTTTGTATTTGAAATACCCTCGAAAAAGGTGTTACTAGTTCGGGTTGTAAGAATCTTTATTCTAGATTACTAACTAGAATTTTTCGCACTAAATATTTCTTAGATAAGCTAGCTGTCTTTTTATTCCACTTAAATAAAAATAGAAAGCCTTTAAATCATGACAACCTGAATTAAAAATGTCAAGACTATAGAAATTAACAAGAACATATACTGGTGTAAGAAACAGAAAAATCCTGCAACAGATTTTGTGTTAATGAACAAATTTGCTATGTCCGTTAAAAATATTGAAAACTTATTTATAGTTAACTTAAATATTTAATGCTTAAATCATAAAGAGCTAATCCATTTCCGCAAAACTAGGTTACTTACTTCCAAGTTAGGGTGAGCAAAGATGCGTTTTCAAAAACCGTAACTGACCCCCTTGTTTGTCCTTACACATTTTTGTGTTCGTTCAAGGGGTAATTTTCCTCCATTTTTCTCCCCTTTGTATTTGCTTTTGTATTTGTAATTGTTATAGTTTTCGCATTGATTGTTCAACTGTGTGTGTGTGTGTGTGCCGGACACTGAAATTGTAATTAGTTCGAAATTTATGCGGACCCACTTCCGCATTTCTCCCATCGAGGATCACGTCCGTATGCGAAGCTTTATTTTTTATGTTCGCGTTGCCGACCACGTCCTGGCAATTATTATTGGTGAGCATGGGTTTCGTTTTGTTTTTGTTTTTCCCTTTGTTTGCTCTCCTTTTTTTTATGAAAATTCTATGAATTTCCAATCCCAAATCGGATTATGGCATTAGCCGGACTCAGTGCGCTGAGAGCCATCGCGTAAAAAAACAGCAACTGCAAAAGAAACACGAGAAAAGCAAACTTTCGGAGGGCTGAAGGTCGAGGCTTGGCCATAAAAATGTGCTGGTCATGCTGTGAACAAGGAGAAAACCGCCAATATTTTGAACTTTTATCATAATGATATGCAACTTAGCCGCCAACCGAGAGATACACACAGCCATTTGGCCCGGTTCGATGTCAAGTGCACAAAAGTTGGCGTTGGCAAAAAACGAGAAAGATGGCTAAATTGAGCTGCGATGCAATTAAGCAGTTTCCGGCAAATTGCCATCCAATATTTCTGGCCAGGACAAGACGGTGCTCCACTAAGAGCCCCTCCTCTTCGCTGTACGCCATTCACTATCGCCAGGATCCTGCCGGGATGCATCCGCCAGCTCATCCGCTCCGAGCTTTGACGAGCACAGCCAAGCGGAAAATGGAAAGCGCTCAAAAGTCCTCCTCCTTTGACGGCTCCTGACTGTGAGCTGCACTCAGATGTTAGCCCTACTTAGCCGCTCCTAAGTTGCTCTGACATTTTTGTATCGCATTGCAAAATTCACCACAAATTAGGGCGGGTAATTAGCCAAAGTTCTGAGCACTGGTAATTGATTCGGGGAAGTTGTGCTGGTTGGCCAATGAAATTGATAATTGGGAGATTGAATGCAGTGATTATAGCCGAACTTTAAGCTTCGGGGCAACAAGCAAGAAAGTTCTTACAACAGCGTGTCTGATTTATTGGCAATTAGCTAAAAAGTTGCGTAATTACTAGAGGTTTTTGGGTATGTCTAACACGATCAAGTTAAGAGTTTAGTATTATTTTTTGTACTATTCATGTGATATGTAGATCTGGGCTAAGACTTTCTAAAACTGATAACAGGAAAAGGTTTTTAACTTCTACACTCAAATAAGCAGCCAAACTAACAGTAACATTAACTTATTTCAATTAAGAACGTTTTTAACTCTCCTATTACTAACCTTAAACCTTAAATTAAACTTAAAAACCCAGCACCTTCTTCAGCTAACCTTTAACATTGAGGTGTTCCTAACTTAATGAAGTTTTAGCAAAAAAGACATCACTGCTTACACACACATTTCGTAGCTTCTGCTTGGGATAGAATTGACAAACGCTTTTGCCTTTTAACCGGGTTTGTTTGTGTTTCCCTTCTCAATTTGCCACAAAGTAGTCGCCACCAGGAATAGGACAAACAGGACACAGGGCACAAAAAAAAAAAGAAAAGAGGCGGAGATGAAATTTACTTTAACGAACTCAAATTCCGTGAAGCTTTTGAGTTGGCCAGAAATTAACTCACTCGCTTAGACTGTCCCACAGCAAGTCAAAGCCAAAAGCCGGTGCAGATGTGCAGCAAAAAATACTTGGCTTTGATTCCTTGGCCTCCTGTCTCCGTCCCTTTGCTTCGGTTCGTTTTCCTTGTGTTTTATCTTCTTCCCGGCTCTTCCATGGCATTCATTATGCCAGGATCCCTCCGCTGTCCTCCTTCGTCCATCTTCCTGCACCTAGATACTAGTGGCCCCTCGATTCGCCTTCATTTATCACAGTTTGTGCGCATTTGTCGAGTCGCCTTATCCCGAGTGGGTGGCCCAACATCCGCTGCCGCTTTGACAGTCCCTAGATCCCCAGGGAAAAGCCCGAGACAAAAACGAGAATTCCTCCGTGAGGGAGTGGCTGTGGCAGTGGCAAGTGAGTGAGTGAGTGAGTGAGTGGTGAGGCAAGTTGTCAAAGGGAACGCTTGGCGGAAAAATGTCTTTTAATTAGTGTTTAATTGAATTGCAAACTGGAATTTTAATCGAAAATTGCAGCGGGTCGACTTTTCCGCCCCGTTTCGCTTCAAAGTTTGCATTGTCCACTGAGCTAAATGGTCTGTTTGCTTTGCCAACTCGACTCGGCCATTGATAGCCCAAAAGTCAGTTCTCGCCATCACCGAAGATTGTCAATGGACTGCGGTTGGATTTCGAAGGAGATACAATTAGGGAATTGTGGCGAGTCTAGGGTGAATGTGTTTCTAGGGGGTAACCTTAGCTTAAAGCGAAATTTAAGTGTTTGTTTTGAGTGTCTTGAAAATGACTAAGAATAGAACTCATACGCATCTTTAACAATTAGTGGGTCATTATTCATCATCGCAACATTTAAGTTGAAAACCAGTCATATCAATCCATGAACTTTATGCTGTTAATTTCAGAATTTCTTCCTTGGAAATATCACTATTTAAGGAAATAATTAAGAAGTCTTTCAGCACTATTACTCACTTCTTTAATAGCAAAGGCATGAAGACTGAAAAGCTCTACCTAGCGTCCATCCCATTGCTCATTTGTCCTTTAAATTGCAGAGTAAATTGCTGGGCACCACATGCCCGCCTGGGTTAATTGATTATAATTACATACATGTCCTAATGCAATTCATCAAACGCGCATTGTCCCCGGATCTCCAGACCACCGTGCCCTGGGTGCCTCGATTCGCCTGGTCTCCACCTCTCCGGTTCTCCAGCTCCCAGGGCCGCCGGCTGAACGCCCTGCACGCCTTTGACGACAATAATGAGCATAATGATGCTGCCGGGGCTGCAGGCCATGCGGATGCTGCTGTTAATGCCACAATAAAGACCGCAGCATGGATGCCGATGGCCCGAGGAGCGCTGGCTCGGCTCTGGCTCACGTACAAATTGCATGATTACTATCAGGGATAATTAATGTTGATGCCAGCGAGACTCAAACATGTTGGCCGACGGCCGACGGCGGACAGCGGACGGCGGTCGGTTCAACAAAAGACCAACTCGGCCTGGGAGTTCTGGCCAACTGAAGTCCTTGGGCCACATGCTGGCTTAGACCGTTGATATGGGGTTACTAGTCTGGCAGTTGTCAACTGCAGCCATTCGGTTGAGTCGATCAAGTTAACCCATTTTCGTAGTTTAAAACTTCCTCTAACTTGGCTTTGATGTCGGAGGCAGGTTTTTGGTTTTTTTTTGTGGGAAACCAGAAACTGAAAACTGATAACTGATAACTAAGCCGCCCGCTGGCAGCAATTAATGCAAATCAATTCGAATCACATAAAGCCACTGCATAAATGCCAAATCATGGCAAATACGTGAGCATTCAGTGGCTTAGCCATGTCCCAAATACTTGCAAATGCCAATTGAATCGGGCAAATTATCAGTTGAACGAGATCCGGGGGGTGTGTGTGAAGGGGAAAAGAGTGGGCCACCACACACAATTCTCAAATTGTTTGGCTTGAACACCGCACAAACCCGTACGTAATGTAATCAAACGTATTGAAGTTAATGAGCTACTTAACCGACTTCCACTTCCGACCTGCCACTGAATCCCATCTCAGCCACTGTGGTATGTGCGGCTGTGGTGAATCATATAATTATGGGATGGATGCCTTGAATTGGGTCGAGGACCCTAGTCGACCACAAATGCCCGCAGCAGAGGTGAGCTTAGTCCAGGATTAACCACAGCAGGTATTATGGCTTTTGATTCGGTTTTAAAGCCATTGCCTGAAGGTCAAAAACATAAACGTTTTATAGTTTATGATTATATTCTTGGGTAGTTTGACTTCTCTGTTTTCGACAAGATTTTAGATAAAAGATGAAAAGAATACACGGAGAACTAATTTTAAAGTCACTTCAATCGATTTACTTAATTAAGATTCAATTGCAGGTTAACGCAATGGGCTACAAGATTCTTGTCTTCCTGTGAGGGAAATAACCAGCCCAAAAACTCGACTAAAATTGGCTGCTGTTCGACGACAGTGGAATAGTCCTCGAAAGAAATCACACCGTCCCTGTCCAGATCAAACTTCTTCATGAGAAACTCAGTCATGTCCTGATCAAGAACAAGGATAACTTTAATCTCAAAAAGCTAAGTCATCACTTACCGCCCTGAGTTCGTTGAGTTCATCCTCGTCTTGGCCATAGAAAAACGATTCACAGGCAACGCCCACTTGCTCTCGATCAATGACGCCAGTACCCTTCGTGTCATAGACCTATAAAGACATTACCTTAAAAGAGATCCCATGAAGGGTAGGGGTTGCTCACCTCAAAGGCAAATTTCATACGCTTTTGGATGTCCTTGGTTGTGTAGAGATCAAAGAGATGTATCCAAGCCTGTGGACTCACGTACTTCGTGTCCTTTGTGATGGCCAGCAGAGTTCGCTCAATGACCTGGGTGTTGGCCACGTTGAAGAGAACGAGGAAGATCTGGTAGAACTGCTTCTTGGTCATCTTCTTGCAGTTAGGCCCATTGGCCTTCGAGAATTTGTAATAAACGACAAGCAAACAGGTGATGTCCGTCTGGGACAGCGCCGAAGTTGCGGCCAACTCCTTGATCAAACTCCCATAAAGGGCCGCAAATCGGCTGTTCTCCATGTTACCAATGGTCGCGTCTAGATTTTCCATTATTCTATCTTTGATTTATTTTTTCTTATTTTGAGATTATTTTTCCTATTTTATTTTTTTGCTAAGATTGATTTTATTTTATTTTTTTGTGTTTTACGTGTTGCTTCTTTCAGTTTTTATTTATTTTTGAGGTTCGCATATCGATTTCTAATGACACCCATTTTCATAGCCTCCTCTTTTCCAAATTTCCAAATATTTTTTTCTATTAAAAGTGCTAAAATAAATAAAAACTTAAGAAAAATAGATTGATCTTTGAAAAGGAAAAACTTTTTATTGAAAAACTTACCCTTATAAAAGGGCATGGCCATCTCCTTCTTCACCTTAATTTACAATATAAAACAACAAGAAACGCCATTGTCAATTGCCGCGACTATAAGTTACCCCCTACTGATTTAATCAATTTTAAAATATTATTTTTGCAAGTGGAAATCGACGAATGTTGAATGTTTACTAATCGATGATGAGGTTACTGCCCATGTCAGGCCTTATAAGCTACATTTCTTAATAAATCGCTAAATAATGTTCGGAATTGTTAAATCTTTGGTAAGTCCATAGATATTGACACAAAACGTTATACAAGATCAAACGAAGACATAAAGGGAAATCATCTCGAGCTGCGGTGGCTTCTCTAGAATACGTATGCCTAAACTTTTCTAGCTCTTTAGCGTTTTTCATTTTTTCCGCATCTTTTGGACGTTAGAGTCCTGGCTATATGGGGAAAAAATAATACGGATTGCTGGCATCATTAGAAACTGCACTAACTAAACTATCCTAACTTTTGTGATCATTATAGTAGGCGTGGCTTGGTTACTGAGATCTTAGCGTCTTTGGATTTTCGGGTTTTGTGAGCGTTTCAGTGGGCGTGGACAGATCGGGAAAAAGTAATACGCATTGGGGCATCATTAGAAACTACATCCTTAACCCCAACTTCCTATTATTTATAGTTACCGAAATCTCATTATACATGCTTAATCCCAACTTTCTAGCTGTAATAGTTTCTGAGATCTCAGTGATTTTAGTATTTGGTAAATCGTGGGCGTTAGAGTAGGCGTGACAGGTTGTTGAAATAAACTAACTGACTCGGACTGCTTAATCTTAACTTTGTAACTCTCTCTCTGCTATAGTTCCTGAGATCTCAGCGTTCATAGGGACAGACGGACATACGGACAGACGGGCAACAGACGGACATGGCTTAATCGATTTGGCTATTGATCCTCATTAAGAATATATATACTTATTAGGGGAGGAAAAGCTTCCTTCTACCTGTTACCCTTACTGTTACCGAGTAATGGGTATTCAAATTCTATCTCATAACATTGTCTGCTGCCAAATACGTTCTTTCCATTCGCTAAATTCATCAATAATAAATTTATTTACAAAAGTTTTTTAGCAAAGCCGGTTTATTTGAACTACGGGCTACCATATTTAAGCATGGAATCCATGTTGATAACATGGAACATGGCATTCTTCTCCTCGTTCGACGGAAAAAGCCAGCCCAAGAACTCAACCAAAACTGGCTGCTGGGAGACAACCGAAGAGTAGTCTTCATAGGAAATAACACCATCCTTGTCAACATCGAACTTCTTCATGATGAATTCAGTCATGTCCTGAAAGAAACATTTTAATTCCCGAATTTTGAAAATCTTTTTTTAAAGTAATATTCTTACCGCCCTAAGCTCAATGAGTTCATCCTCGTCGTTGCCTTCGCTAAAGAATTTCTCGCATGCCACGCCTACTTGTTCGCGATCGATTACGCCGGTGTTCTTAGTATCATAAACCTGAAGAAAAGAAAACAAATTACATTTCCAAGCACATAAACAAAATAACACCCACTTCGAAGGCAAACCGCATTCGCTTAGAAAGGTCGTCCGTGGTGTAAAGTTCGAAGAGATCAATCCACGCCTGGGGGCTCACGAACTTCGTATCCTTCGTGATGGCATGAAGGGTTCGTTCGATTACCTGGACATTGGCCACGTTGAACAGCACTAGAAAGATCTGGTAGAACTGGTTCTTCTTCATCTGCTTGGCCCCGGGTCCGTTGAATCTGACGAACTTGTAGTAAACGCAGAGCAAGCAGGTGATGTCCAGTGTGGACATTTTGGAGTTTGCAGATATTTCCTTAATCAAGCCACTGTAAAGTGCGGAAAAACGACTGTTTTCGGTGCTATTGATGGTGGAATCTAGGTTTTCCATGGTTCACGTTTCTCTATGTTATGATTTCCTATCTGAATATGTAGGTCAGTCGACGTGTTCTGATGTTTCGGAATATATCTATTACTGAGTTCAAAAGGCAGATGTTGCCTTGGCCTACTTTACTGTGAGTGGAAATACTCAAGTCAAAGCGTTTTTATGGGAATTAAAATGTTTCCAATTTCCGCGTTTCCGCACCATTTGTCTTTCTTAAGAATTTTATGCCGTAAGTCTCTGCCAAACACCGACCGAAAAATATATCAATCAAAACTCTATACTGAAATCCGGCCGAACGCCCTTGTAAATCCGCCAACACTTGGCGATGTCAGCTTTGGAGACATTAAGGAGCGTGAATCCTTGCCGCCCTTCTCCTTTTTTCTCCTTCCTCGCTTAGGCTCTTCCCTCTTATTTTATTGTTATTATGCCGTGTCGAGCGGTTCAGCCGCCTCCTCATTTCTTTGGTATTTTCGAGGGTGTGGCATGTGTGCAAAGGGTGGGGCGAGGGGCAGAGTGGCATACAATTACACAACAAAGAGAAGGGGATCCCGAACATTTGTTACCCCAAACAAAATGGCTACACAGCCATTTCCGCCGAATTTCCACATGGAAGGCTTTACACCCATCGCAGCGCTTTTGTTTGGATTATTATATTCGCGTTTCTCATGCGCACAGCTTTCAGATTTTGCCTCAGCCTTTTGTGTGTCTCGGCCGGGTTTGTTTCAAATATTTATTCGAAATGGAGGACAGATGTAGTCCATGTACCGTGGCTGATGTATTTTTTATGTCGCGGCGTTGTTTTATTGCTTTTAAATTGCGCTCGTTACATTCCGTGGGAGTCTTTGGGCTGCTCCTGCGACATACCCAATCTATTTGCAATTTGTCTTGCATGGCCCACACCCTTGAAGTAGGCCAGGGACCCATATGTTAATCATATTCAGCACACACTAAAAACAACACACATACACACCCTATTAAACAGCGCTCATTAAAAAAATAAAAAAAAAAAAAACAGGATTATATAAAAGTCAAGGTAAAACCACAATGAATCGCATCGACCTCACCCTGGATGACATGGCCAACAACAAGTTCCTCACGCTGTATAGTAGCATGATCAAGAACTTCACCACCTCCACGGACTTCTCCTCCACCGAGGTGGTCAGCTTGTTGATCGTGTTCTACAAATACGCCTTGAGCAACAGATCCCGCGTGATGTCCACCAGCCAGCTGTACAATCTGTTCCTCGTCATCTTCGGCATCTTCGACGTAACCATCATCGAACGCATTGCGATGAACATCACGCTGGACGGTCGATCCATCACTCCCGACTCCTGGATTCGACTATTCCGCGTCTTCTTCACCGGAACTCTGCATGAGCGAATGAAGTTTGCGTTTGAGGTGGTTTAGTTTTAGTTTATTATCTTTTTTTGTGGTTTTATTCTGCGTCTTTAATAAGTGTTTGATTGCCTTTGTATGCTCAGATTAAGGCATCCAAAGATCAGTTTTAATATTGTTAATGCAAAGTCTTTGAAGTTAATATCTTTTATATTTATTTTATTTATATACCAACTATTTTTAGGTTTACACAAGTGCTGGTACAGTGGTTCTGAATCGCGAGGTGGTCGGCTTGGCCATTGAAAATTTCTTCTCAGGAGACGACGAAGATGAGGTGAATGAACTCCGAGCGGTGGGTTTATATTTAAAAAAAAATCCCTCACAATTATATACCATTTCGAAACAGGATATGTGTGAATTCTTATTCGAAAAATTCGACACGGACAAAGATGGCGTTATAGGCTTTGAAGAGTATTCTGAAATTGTGCAAAAACAGCCGGCACTGCTCGAGTTCTTAGGGAAAATATTCCCTGATGACAAGGACAGATCTTTGGTTGCCTACTGCCATAACATTGAGTCGATGTTTCCGCCAGATATATATTAAAAAAAAAGAGCGCTTCTTTGTGGTTAAAATTCGTTGTATTTTGCATAATTTTAACCTGCTTAGGGGATTTTTCCATAAAATAGCACAAGTGTTGAAAATTGGCGCTTAGAGGCTTGCAAGCCGGCTTACAATAAAGTCATTTTCCATTAAGTACACACTGGGAAAAGTTGAAATTGCCTCCGCAGACTGCGAATGCCACTGCGGGCTCTGCTGTTGTCTTTTTTGAGCCGAAATCTGTGTCTTGTGTTCATGTTCAACTCCTTCCGAATGCCTTCCGATGTTGTGTAGGCGCTGAGGGAACTTTTGTTTGTCTATTTTGCGGCTTTGTAGAGCAATTAAATTTGCGCAACATATGCGGGCTCCGGAGGCAAAACAAGGAAAACTCACAGACTCAGCAAAAATTCTAATTAAGTTCCTCCAAAAATTATGGGTATGGAGGTTTCTAGATGAAAGGTATCGTATTCCAAACGTTAGTTGGTTAGATGGTACATATTTAACATGAAAAAAAGGTCTCCCTATCTGGGAAAATAATGAAAAAGTGACACTGATAAAATCTATACAAATCCTAGTAAATTCTAAACAGTTTCTCTGTAGGATTTCCCAATTATTATTTTAAAGTTATCTTCTGTTCCTATTAAGTATTGTGGAACTGTTTATTTAAAACACAGTTAAACAAGTTAGGATAGTCAAGCGCTAACAGCCCACATAAACTGCAAATTATATAGTGGAAGCCATGGTAAGGACGTGATATTCCAAGTCATTATTCTCCGCAGAAACCTTTCTTGTCAGCTCGAATTTTGTGGCAGTAGTCAGACAGTTGGATAAAATCTTTTAGAACATTTCCACAACGAGACACTCTAAAGGCTTATATTATATTCTGCGGTAAGTTTCCGTTTGGCATTGGGCCTGCCACAGAATTCTATCCATCTATCAATCGCTGTGCTTGCAACGGGGCGTATGGGTAACGTCGAAATCGAAAGCGGAGAACTGAAAGTTGGCCATCAACTTGTGTGGGGCAATCAGCGAGATGCCAGAAATCGGATTGCCTGGGACAACAATTTGGTGACCCAGAGTCATTGACACGCCTCGTTTTCGGGGGCATTGGCTGGGCATTAAATTCAGCGCGTGACTTTCACCCCAGACATTTGTTGCTGTCCCGCCCAGCCCCAGAAAATTCTGTAAAAGCCCTGTCCTGGATAATGAAAAAGGGATCTGAAAAGGCTCAGCAGAAAGCATGAAAAGTGACCGCGACATCCAGCTGGCATCTGCCCCACTCCTGCCGTTTTTCCTTTTTTTTATTTTGTTGGCTGGAGTTCAGAGTTCGTCACGACTTTGCCACTTTGCTGCAAAAGGGTCTTTGGTTTGTTGTCCTTTTTTCCCCAGCATTAACACGCGGCCTCCTGTTGCATTTCTGTTAAAATGTCGAGGACCAGGGCACACCACCGCCAGCGCACCCTGCTCGTTTGGAGGCGTCCCCTTTTGTGCCTCGAGTGGGTGTTCTCACCAAAAAACAATGCCACAGAGCAAAAACGCAAAAGGGCAGCAACAAATTGGGTAAAAACAAACATGCTCCCACATTTGTATTCCTGAACGATATATCCTGCTGTTATCCTTTCGCGTTCGTCAGTCCATTTATCGCAGCCAAACTTTTGACTGGCAACGGTTCGGTTTCCTCCGCATTTTTTTGATGCCTGCAGTAAATCTTGCGGTGCAACCGGTTGGCATTTTTATGAAGTTATACCACAAACTCAGCTGCATTCCGTCCTCGTCCTCGCCCTCGTCCTCGTTCTCCACCTTCACCCAGTGCATTAACACATGCCAGATGAAAATGTGCATTTTCCAAATGAAATGACCGCGATGTGAGTGTGTGTGTGTGCGTGGGTACAAGCGGAATTCGGAAGGCTTCAAAAAATGAGAACTTTTTGCCAGCCAAATGGCCCCATGATGCTTCGCCGGATACAAATATGATTAACCACCGCTATTAAGGTATCAATTTATGCTTTTTATTCGCTGTATGAAATGCCACACAGGATATTCCACATACAATCGATTTTCAGAGTTCAGGTAAGTGCCAGGTAAAAAATCTTCATATATTTTACGATACATTTTTAGAGCAACATACGAACTCAGAGTTAAGGTAAGATTTTCTTTATTTAACATTACCTATAAATGATTTAATCGGTTATTTTGGCGTTACCCTTTCGCTTTAAATTTAACCAAAAAGAGCTAGAAAAATGTCTTTAAATTAGCTTTAGATTTTATTTTGCATTAGCAATTCGAAGTGAAAACAAACAATTCCAAGCGAAAGATAAAAATCATAATGCAAACAAATTGCCTTTTTAGGATTCAAAGTGCCGACAGAGGCAGAGTCTAATGCGTTTATGCCTGGGGCAGATCTGCGGCGTCAAAGGAAGAGGAAAATGCGCATTCTGCCTTTGCTTTTTACGATAACGATAACAATGATAATAATAATCCGATTCCCATAACATTGGGCTTCAGTGGGGTGAGTAACGCAGGCGAGAGACCAGGCGACCTGGAATCGTTTTGATTGTCACATTGTCATCATCTGCATATTAAGTACAAGTGATTACACCCTCGCACTCTCAAGATACAGAGACACACATCCAGATTCAGATACAGGTGAGCACATGTCCTTCGCTCCAGGATGTTGTGTGCTGCATTGAAGATTCGGCATTTCGGCATTTTGGCATTTTGGCATTTAAATCCAACCAAGCAGCAGGGAATACGAAAAACTCCGAGCACATTGCGCGCACGGAGCACAAAAGCCAAATATCTACGAGATACATATGTATCTTTTGTTAACGAGCACGAATCGGAGCAAATGTAAATGTTTCCCAATGTGTTTTTTAGGAGGGGGAGGAAGGCTCTGTTTAGGTGAAGAAATCCCAACACGTTTGACACGGCGGCAAGGAGAAATCAAATCAAATCGGTTTTTGGGCGAGAAAGGAAATCGGAAACGGAATCCATTTCAGGCACGTGAAGTCGTTTGATTATCCTGGTCTTTGTGCTAATGATAGAGCGGTGAATCCCTAAGAAAGTGCCGCTCCATTGTTGTTCTGTATATTGTACAAAGTATATTGTACAAAAATATTCCCCATAATCTCTCACGTGGCACTGAAGAGGAAAAACTCATTTGGCGCAACACAAGCTCCAATTAAGTATGACCAACTTTCACAAATGACTGTACTGCACTGAACTCGACCTGGGACTGCATTTGTACAGCGGTCGGCAAAATAATATATACTTTTCTTTATCAATCTTTATGAATATATGTGTACTTTATGTATGCTAGGTATGCTAGTCATCTGCTGCCGCTTGAACTGTTCTAAATCTTACGTTTTCCAATCAATTTGACTGTGTTTGATCACCTGGCTAACTTGTTTCCTCAGAGAGTCACTACAAAGTATAGATTTTTTAATGCAATTTGCTCCTATTACATTGACCTTAGCTGTCTGTACACTGTTTCGTTTTCTTTGTCTTCAGAACGGAATTAAAACTAAGCACTTCGGAGCACACAACTGGCATAAACAAAAGCCAGACAATTGGGAGTGCTCGAAAGGGGGCTGAAAAGAAAAGTGCAGGGTTGTCGGAAGCAGAAAAAGCTGCAGACCGACTTTGGCTGCGGAAAACTCGTACTTGAAAAATCGTAAAATTGAAATTATAATTGCCACTGCAACTGATTCGAAGCGCTAGCTCCTAGAGTTCGTTGTCTGCGACCAAAGATGCTCTAATTACGCCCCTAAGTGGCTGGAATCATTAAAATGCTTGTCAAATAATAATTGCCCGCAAACAATTCATTTCACCATCGCTTCCTCAGTTGTGGTATTTTAAAGTATCCCTTGAAGATTTCTGGCTGGAGGGCCTGGGAATCCTTTACCTTCCTCCGGTTAACACCAGAGAACTTGAGCCACTAACCAACTCCAGAGTTGGCAGGAGAGATGACCATGGTGATGGCGGAGTGTATGTGGCATGCCGGATGTTGTGACAGTGCCAAAAATATTTCCACATTTTCCCGCAGACCTCAGCAGGGATAAAGTCCAAGCCTTGGACCTGCGGCACTTTCAGTGGCCCACATTGCGCGGCATTCATTTTTTTGTTTTTGTGATCGGAGTTCGGATTCGGTCAGTTGTTCTACTTCGCCTCTGTGCGCTGACATTTTTGCTAAATATTCAAAAAGTTTGCCCGCTTTGGTGTCTCACTAGTTGGTTTTGTTGTCAAGCGGATTTTTATACCATATCCGATGTTTGTCGTACACACCATTCTTTTTGGGGTACAAATCAGGCTGATGGCTTTTTGTTTTCCGTTCGATAGTTTCATGCGACAGCTACACACGTTGCCAGGACCCGAGGACACCAGGACAACGGGACACCAGTTGTTAGCCTGGAGTTTTAGTATTCGATTCGACGTTACGCAGGCAAATCCACGTGGCGAATTAAATGGAATGTAAATTTAATCTCTCCAATGGCAGCAGAGCTCAAGTTTCAATAGTAGCCCAAAATCTCGACTTTAAATGGCCAGTTTTGAAAGATTTTATTTATGATTTTCAGGCATGTTTATCACTTCTTAGTTAGTTTAGGTTTTATATTGCAACTAGTATTTTTTGTTCGTTATTGGGCTTACACTAGCTTACTAAGCATCTTTATACTACTTATACTTTAAAAAATGAAAAATTTTAAATTTGTTCATTAAAAATATCGAACAAGAAAGAAAAACTCAAAAACTGTTCAATGTGTTTCCAAAATGAATTCCAATGTTACAATAATTGACTTAGTAAGTTAATGCATAGTTTCAAAACATGAAAAGTTCTCAGTTTCTGGTATGAAAACCGTATACCAAATATCTTGTACCCTAACATAATCAACTAACTCTTAGTGTTGCCGATCTTCGTAGTTTTGTAGCGCCGCCCTTGTATATACGCCCGCGTTGATGCTGTTGATCGTTTATTTATTTAGCCCTTAACAGTAAAAGTCATAAACAAGGGCAGCAAGAATTAAAAAATAAGATGTTA